GATCGCAACCCTCAGTGTTGCCCCCGTACCGGACCGGGGACCGGCAACGGGATTGCAACCCTCGGTGTCGCTCCCGCGCCTCGCTCAGCCAGTGAGCGGGAACCGGTCTGCATGTGGGATCCGAACCCTCGGGCGGGAGCACCGCCGCCACGCTTCCCAAGCGGCGCACTATCCAGTGCACCACCGGGCCGGCCCTAAAATCCAGATTTCTGACACATTCACACATCCCCATTGTACCAGCATTTAGATCAGCGTTCAACCCGGAGATTGTGGCTGCTGAATCAGAAAGATTAACAGGTTCTTCCTTTGAATGATTACCACTATTGTTTTCATGTTAAAGTTACTTATCACACAAAGATATATGTCCAGTAGGATTAGAAAGAAAGAATCTTGCTATTATTTTCTGTCTGTCTAGACAGCAACATGTGGCTTCTAGGACAGGTGGACTTACTGCTTGGAACTTAAAGTTTATTTCAAAGACTATATCTTTTCCTGTAAAAAGTCCTGTTATTCTTTGGTAAGAATCCCTAAGACTGAGAACTAAAAATGGTCATGGGGCAAAAAATATTAACTAAAAGATTCTCATCACAGAGAAAAAAAATGAATTTGTTTGATTTGATTATAAAAACTTGGCTTTATAAAAGGTGAACCATGAATTTTAAATTCTTTTACAATGAAGCAGGCAATAAAACAGTATCAATAACAGCAGGTAATTCAACTTTTTTCTTTTATCTTTCTTCATTTAGCTTTCAATTAAATTTTTTTTGCATTTCAATACCAGTTTTCAATAGTTATAAAGAAACATAAATGTGAGGCTAGTTGGGTCAGTGAGGGGGTTAACCAGTGATTACTGTCTGACAGCTAATCTGCCAAGCCTTTTGTCAGGAATTTTGAAAGGTATTCAAGCAGAGGTTCCATATGAGGATTTGCCATGATTTTTAGGAAACTTACAACATATAATTTTGTTGAATTTGCATTCAAATAAATGCTAGCTTAAAAAAACACACCTGCTTGTTTCTATGACAATAGGCACAGTGAATGATGCTCACACACATGATGATGAATGTCACCCTGTTATTGCTGTTATTTTTTTCCACGAACAATTCATCAAATTCTTCTCTGCTATCTATCATTCAACCATTTGATATGCCTCAGTAGACAAAACTATGTCACAGAAGTCTAAAGGATGTTTTGCTAATACTAAGAAACCAAAAGACATTATTCTACTGTTACTCTTGCTAATTAGAACATCAGCATTCTTCCATAATTCAGTAGTAAAATATTTCATAGCTAAGCAAGAATAGCATTTTGTGGTCCCTTCTAATCAATATGTTTCAAAATACTTATTGTTTTTAATAAAGATTTTTTTTAATGTTATGTTAAACATATAATATATAATCTGGAAACATCCAACTTGTAAATATGTATCCTGAAATTATACATAATTCAAAAACATATTGTTTCTATACAATAACCATTTTAACTATTAAAAGCATTAAACTTCTTAAAAGGCATTATGCCATAATGCATTTTAAATACTAAATAGCCTAGATTAACATAAGAAATCATCATAATAATTAAAGTACTAACGAATGTATGTACTACCTCATATAAAGTGATTACACCATACGTTTGAGTTGGTTCTCTCCATTGAAGAAATATCTTCTCTTCAAAGGTACTTCCTTGGATGGATTCAGTAGGAACAGCACCTGGGACTAAAGGGGGTAGAGGGGGAGATAGATAGTTGAGTAATAAACCAAGAAAAGAAAAGAATAAGGTAAATTTTTCCAGACTTGGGAGATTTTAACCCTCTATTGAGGCAAAAGATTTTAATAGTCCATAGATACACTGAAGTTTTCTTTCAAAAATCTGAAATCTAAAACCTTTTTATCTACGCCATCTTTATAAAAAAAAGAATTTTATTATTTTCTCTTTAAAGTTTGAATCAAATAGGCTGAGCTCACTGATTATACTTTAAATGAACTTTATGAATGTGAAGCAACAAGAATTCTCACATGCTACTCGTGGGAGGGTGAATCAGAACAGCCACTTTGGAAAGTCACTTGGTAGTATTTAATAAAGTTAAAGACACACAGACTATATAACCCAATAATCCCACCTCCAGGTATATTCCCTGATAATATTTTTGCATACATGTGCCAGGAGACATATATAAGAGTGTTAACATAGCAGTGCTTTTAAATAATAATAATAATATAAAATTGGAAGCAAATCAAATGGTTTAATAAATGGTGCTACATTCATATGATAAAATACTGAAAAGATTAAAAATAAATGAGTTTATATTCATCATCATGGATATATTTTATAACCATAATAATGAGTCACAAAAGCACATCAAGGAAGAATATATATGAACTACTGTACTAATATGTTTATTAAAAATACATACAAAACAGAAGCTGATGTAAATAAAATAACAATACAATTTCAAAAATTATTTTATTTGTTAATAATATAGGAGATTTTTGAAAGTTTGATGCCATTTTTTCAAAGTCTAAAATATGTAGCCCCTTATAAGCTTACAAGAAAATCTAATTAATATGAGGGAAAATGGAAATTTACTTGCCAATATTATTTTCTATAAAATAATATTTAATTTTACTTAAGCAATATTATTTATCTCATTTTAAATTCAGTTTTTGAGAATGCTTTATATTATATACAATTTAGTATACTAGTATGTCTATACTATTTATAGGATATATATATTTATATATACTGTTTATAAATACACGTATATTTGGGGACGTATAATCAAATTGTTTGGTGATGGCATGATCAAAGAGTGGCTGTAGAGGAGTCACACATTCTGATTTCAAAACTTATGACAAAGCTATTGTAATCAAGAAAGTGTGGTATTGGCATAAGATAGACATATAGATAAATGGAATAGATTTGAGAATCCCAGGAATAAACCCTTATTTTTGCAGTCAACTGATTTTCAATAGGATGCCATCAAAATTTAATGAGAAGAGAACCATCTTTTCAATGAATACTACTGGCACACATGGATATCCACACGCATGCTGTAGTGGATTGAATGTCCCCACAAACTCACTGAAGCTTGAATTGTGTCCCCAAGTTTTGCATATTAGAAACCTGGCCCCCACTGTGACTGCTGGGAGGGTGGGAAATCTTATTATAATAATTGAAAGGTGGGGCCTTGTGAAGGTGATTAGATCGTGATTAGATTAATAACGGTGTCAGGGGTGTGCTTCTGAGGGCTTTAAAAAGAGAGTGAGGGCCGGCCCGGTGGCGCACTGGAGAGTGTGCCGGCGCTCCCGCCGAGGGTTCGGATCCCATGTGGAGACTGGTTCCCGCTCACTGGCTGAGTGCGGGGC